AATATTTGCATCAATTTTTTATCAAATCATAATTTTTATTGAAGCTTTTGAAAATCTCGGCTATAAATTAAATATATTTTCTTTATAAAGTTGATAAATTGAACGATCGAAAAAAATATTGCCATTTTAAAAAATGGTCGAAATTTGTGATTATTCGATTCCCAAACTTTTTTGATTCTCTCATATCTCGTTTTGTGTTTGCAAGAACAAATCGCAATTAAAAATGAAACAACTGTTAAGAAACGGTTAGTATTCTATTGGATTTTATCAAAATATTAAAAAATAAAATAAAATATGGATTGTACTAAATTATGAATTTTTTTAAAAAAAAAATAAATAAAAAAAATAATTTAACCAATTCTACTTTAATTCTTCTTAGAAAACATTTAAAATTTCATTAGCTCTAAAGAGATTTTCCTCTTTGGAAATGTATACCCTACCAAATGAAACCATATTTACTTGGTGATATTTCCTTTTTAGCGCTAACACAATATTATCAACTATACAGGATGCTTGAGTACTAGGAGTGTCGATAAAATAGAAAATAGAGTCTGACTGGTTTTGAACAAGTTGAGAATAACCCGGAAATTCACGAATAACTGATTAAAAAGGGAAAGTGAAAAAAAAAAAAATATTAGAAAACTTTTTTTAAAGGACAATTGTTAGGATTATTGTTACAAACATCTTAGACATACAAGCTATTACGGTAGTTCTCTGAATATTCCTTTGGAGAAGTATATCCTCATCCCCCCATTCAATAATGAGCAGTGATGAATTCCGCTTCTGAATATTACTGTAAAGAATATGATACGATGTTATATTAAGCATGATATCAGTTTTTTTTTGGTTAAATGAAATCATACCTAAATAAGTAACATTGATATAATAGCCAAATAAAGAACGTAAGAGGCATTATAGAAATAATAACGATAAACGAAAAGGATGAAGATAAGTAAAAATTGGGTATCTCCATTGAAATAAAAAATAAAATAAGTTTGATCGTGGTCGAGTTTTCTTTTATTATATGCCAATTATTTGAATGAGATTAAAACTTTCACATCTCTGAGTTTAACTCATTTATCCATTTATCGTCTATTATGCATGTGTTCAGCTTTTTTTTTATTACATCAGCCTTCGGCAAAAAAAATTCTCTTATTAAAGTAAATTTTACGAGCCCGTTGTGTTACAACATTATTATTACAGTTCCCATGAAAGGTTTACAAAAATTAAGTTCTGCTGGCGGGTGCTTACATGTTTTCTATTATTAGTTCAACAATTGAATGCATAACATGGATTTCCTTGTCCCGAAATTCACGAGGAACTGCACAAAATGAAAGTGATTACAAACTTAATCTACTTGATTACCGATCGGTTTTTTCTATAGCCATAAAAAAGGTTAATTGCATAAATTTATATGTAAATGTTTAATTGTGATACACGAATAAATAGATGAAATTTAGAATTAGTTATCTCTCATCAACATTTAGTCAACAAAATTAATAAAATTAAAATAATATTTAATATCTTCGAATAATAATTTTCACTTACATGTATCTTAATTAAAAATCCTACATATATATATTTTAAAAATAAAATTTATTTTTGATAGTAAGGGGAAAAGAAAAGGCTGAAAAACAAAAAAAAAATAAAAAAAATAAAAAAAAAATTGTAGAAAATAATTACCTTAACTATTGTTCATATTATCATTATTTATAATTATTAGTCCTTCTTGAACTAAAATTTCATTTATCTTTTCAGCATAATCAATTTTCTACTTGCATAACAAGATATGAATGTTTTTAATAAAGATCTCATTTTCTATAATAGAAAAAAGAAAACATATTATTCTTAAAATGATTTAATATTATGTACTGCTCTCTTTGAGTATAATAAAAATAAAATAAAATAAAATAAAATGATTTAATATTTACTTGGTATGATATTAATTTACAACTAGGAATATTCCAAACCATTTACGAAAATTTTCATATAATTCTTCAGCTTTCGGTCTTTTACCAGGATTAGAGTCCCACATTTTTTCATTAATTCTATGTATTCAGTTTCTGTGTCTTCATATACTTTTTGAATATCTGTATCATCAAAAATCTTCGAAGTTTCAATGATATCTGATCTAGATCTTCTACAGATAGCCAAGGAAAGATCAAAATCATGAGGCATACTATTAAAAGCAGGAATTCTAGTAGTCATTTCCCATATAATAATACCGAAGGAATATATGCCTGCAGCTTTTGTATATGGTCTACCACGCAATATAATGTTGGTCGCCGTAAGTAATAATTACGGCATTTCAGATTAAAACCTGGGTTGCAACCCTAGTTTCGGATTACTGCTCAAAATTACGAAAATGCCATATTAAAGTTGTAATACGAAATTATGCCGTGGTTGTATTTCAAATAAGCGTGATCAGTAATTAATTTGTGATTGACATCACAGGTAATATGTGTCTCACAATTGCCCAGATAAAAAGCTTAATTTCCAGCCGGAATTAAGTTTTTGTTGTAAGTTAGGCATAAATGTAAGCGGGTCCTATTATTAATTTTTCGAAAAATTGTGAATATCACCTCACTTCTATACTTAGAACTTATTCTTAAAAGTATCTAATAATTCTAATTTACGATTAGTATTCATCAGACATTACACTCATCTCGGACATTACACCAATTACAACGAGGTGTAAATTTACAACTTTATCGACATACGGTTACAACCTTTCAACCATTATGGCGTCCAATACTAACATAATACTCCCGGAACAATATAAGGAAATACTCCATAAACATCGTTAGTTTATCTACTTGTTTACTTAATCCAGAATCACTTATATAAATAAATGTTCAAGTTATTTGAAAAAATTAAATTACCACTATGGAAATCACAATGAACTAAATTACATTTATGTAAAAACTAAAAGTGATTTTGCTATCCAAAATAAATTATAATATTCATCAATTGGATTAATTGGATTAATTGGATTGCATTTTTTATCATTAAGTTGGATTTTAAACTACCAAGTTCCATATATTCCATTACAATCATATATTTTAATGTTTCTGGATCTTGAGTAATTCCCATATAATTTAATTGACAAACGCTCACTATTTTCTGTTGAACGTATAAAATTCCACTAAATCAACGAAAATAAAAATGATAATCACCAATTATCCCAGTTTGGTTGGTTAACAATCTGAACAAAATCCATGTTCTTGACTAAGTATTTCTTTTCTAGTAAATTCTTAACTTATATAAGCGACCTGGGCCAGAAGAAACATAATGCTGGCCAGAATTATAAAGTCACTATTAATCACGTGATCAACTATTCGCTCGAGTTAAAAATTTCCGTGGCTCACTCGAGTTGGAGTCAATTCCGAGCACCCTAATGTCGAGTTACAAAGTGGAACCGTTCAAAATTAAAAATAAAACACCATCACTATAAGACTTCCAAGAGAGATATGTATACATCAAATTCGTCATCATCTTTGATGGTCCTAAAGAAAAAAATGAAAGAAATCGAATGTGATATGTTGGGTGGAGGGGCGGTATAGTTTTATGCGTGGGTTGGAGCAGGCGCTTGCTTTTGGTAAGCTCGTGGGTACCGGCTTTTGCTTTCAAGATAGGAATATTCCTAAAATCAGAATAAAATGAATTAATTAAAAATTAAAAAAAAAACCAAACTACCGCTATTACGAAACTTCAATATTCCATAACAAGTAGCCCTCTGGGATAAGGAATGGAAAAGTCATACAATCATAGCGCTTGAACATTAAAATGAAACTTTCTAAAAAAAAAATAAAATAAAAATTAAGAGAAAGTTAACATTTGTAAATAAATTTTACATATATAACTCGAAAATATAATAATTTTTTGAGACAATTTATTTGATAAGGTTTTTTTTTTAAACGATAAACTGATAATCTAACTGCTGAATAATGATTTTTCACATTTTCTCCTAAGTGTTAATCATGTTCTATTCGAACGAGTTAAATATTTCTCTCAATAGGTAACACGTCTCTCTACTCTAAATGAGTAAATAATTAGGTAGGTAATTACTATTCTAAATAAAAAAAAGAGAGAATTTAACGAAATAATTCCAAAAATTCTTAGATCTCGATCCTAAGATAATGTAGTTTTTTTTAAGACAAGTGACTTGATAATATTCAAACATAAAATCGAACAACTTCTTGAATAATTAAGTTAATCTTGTGTCATTTTGCTAAAAGAAACTTTACCTTCATAAATAATTGCGCAGAAGCTATTCGACCATTGATAATCTCTAAAGGAAGTCAGGACGTGTACTACCTAAAACTTTTAACGGATCATTAATTAGTTGCGGTCAAAAGTAAATATAAATAACGGTATAAAAAAACTTGATATAAATTTCCTTTACATAAAAGTAAGGTGCATTATAAATACCTACAAATAAGTAGGAACTTACCATTATACTATACTCGATTTTTTATATAGCGAACAAAACTAGTACATAAGTGATCATACATAAAATAATTATTTAGAAATAATATTCGAATTTTTAAGACATATTGATAATTACAAAAGAGCAAAGCCATTTTTAAATCATAATTGACTCATATGGGATTGATTTGTAATTAGTAATTGATTTTGTTATTATCGTTATTAATATTTTAAATATTTTAAGGAAAAGAAAAAAGAAAAAAAAATTGTGCGAAAATACATTATTTATATCATGCGTAATTGTGTAATATGCGTAATAAAAAGTCAAAATAACACGTTTTTTTTTTTTGATTATCTAGTGTATAACATCGGTAAATATAAAAAAAAAAAATTTGTAACTATTTTTGGACGATCTAAAAATCTAAAAACAAGGATATTGCCGTTTTAAGATAGTTGATCACACGATAATCATATGTTAATAATACAATCTATGCAATCTGATTTGTGGATCTACATTATATAATTCAAAAAATAAAAATGAATATAAATCTGTCCTCATTTTTTTTTGTACAAAACATGTGAATTTCGGTGTATTTTTATCATTATGAACGTATTGGTCGCTAAATTCCTCATTTCTGCAACCACAAGAAATTCCATTATGCTGTTAAATGTGAATTACCAGGTATGTTTCTACAATGAAAATAACTTATTAGTAAATTAATAACTTTAATTATCTAATTATTCGTTTATTAAAAAATAACCAAACATTTCCATTTAGTTATTGTGTCATATCTTTTATTCAAAAGTTAATGTTGATTGGCGGGTATCGCTTATATTAGGCCTACGGATTTATCTAAGATGAAAAGGATTTTTATGAACGCTTGAAGTCAAAAAACAAAGGATGAAAAATGTTTTTCGTGCTTATCCGTTCTACGTTCATTGTAATTTATATTTTTTCATAAAGGTACAAACTATAATGCAAATAATTTAAATTTCAAGTCGTATTATCTGCTAAAATCGGAAAAAAGAATATTTTTTTATATTTATTTATTTCATTACGAAGTTGAGTAATACAATACAAAAATATATATGTATAACATATTTAATGCAAGGGGAGGCGTAACTGGTAAGTTCCAACAGAACCGTATGTTATATGCTCCAGATTTTAATCCTATGGCGGGAGTTAACAGAAAAGGAGGAAATCCAAATTTTGATTAAAAATTTTTTTTTATTTATGTTCTTGTGCGCGAAGTTAGCTCAATAACCGAGATTCTGATGCCCCCCATATGGTTGATACTTCAAATATTTAGAATTGGTGCAGACCATTGGGACCAGGATATATACAGTATATGATGGTCGAGAAAGGGCTCAGAGGTAGAAATTATTTTGTTCTTTCATATGGTCTATTATAATTCTCCTATATATCTGATATATAATGTTATTTTTTCGATTTATTAGGTTCCAAATGTGTCTTAATATTTCAAATATAGCTTCTTCAGTTTTGAGTCATTCTCTTAACGCTTAATTAGTTGTGCGATCTGATTATGATGTGAGCATTAGGTTTTAGTCAATTTTCAAGCAAAAATTACTACTTACCTGTATCTGTTTCAAATTAATAATTGTTTTTGGTCAATTTTTTAATCTCAACTCAACATATGACAAAATAAATTGAACTTATAACTCTCCCTTTGTGATATAAAAATATGATCAATTTAAATCAACGCATCATTCCGATCAATCAGGGTTATCACCGGTTCGGTTTGCACCATCTATTTTTATTCCTGTTTTAAATCATAAATTATTGTCATACGATCTGTTCGAAGTAAGAGCAGATGATGCGGACCACAATCAAATGCATGCACGCCCAATTGGTCATTTACTCTTTAACAATCAACAAAGGAGACGAGAAAGACATTTCACATCTCGTATAATAATTTACTAATCTCGCACCATCTTGATCATATTCGTTGAGATAAGTTTCAAATTGGGAAGCTGGGCACATCTTCACGCCAAATGAACCATCAAATTATCTCTGAAGGAAATTTAAATGTAAGTCTTTACATTTACCTAATGAATATTTGACACGAGCTGTGTTTTGGCTTTCAATACAATTTACTGACATATTTCGTTCAAATTTGTAACTGAAATTTTATTTAGGCGTCAAGATTGCACTGTAATTTTTGATCTCTCAAAGAAAGAAAGAAAGAAAAAATATACTATAAACATTTTCTTTATATGTACAATATATTAGTAATATATTACGTATGTGTATATATACGTATCAATTTAATTAATTTTGATCATTTATGAATTAAGTGACTATAATGAGGTAATACCATTAGCGCTTCGATTGATTAAATTTAATAAAGATGCTATAGACATTTTTTCTTTAAATTGATGATGATCAAATAAAAATCACTTGATCAGATTTCTTTTACCAGAAGGATCAAGTTATGATAGCGAAAAGATTAATATAAATCACGTTATAATCAATTAATTATACATTCTTAAATAGCTTTCCACGTGAATTTGATCAAAGTCGTTCATGATCGTTCATTGATCGATCATTGATTGAAATTCAATTAAAGTCTGGTCTGGATGCTTATATTTGTAATGTGAAATTCGGCTGGTAAGCGGGTCTGGATGATTGGCATCCCAAGACTATAGAATGAAATTAATAAAACCCAAAATGATCGAGTGGCGATCGAGCAAAATAAATAACATTGATGGAATGGGAAAAAGTGGCAGCACGAGCTATAGGAGAGGTCGCATTTGATAAAGGTATAAAAGCTGAACAAATAAAGAATTGGAGTGATATGGGGCGACGAATACTTAAGATTGGGGAAGAGATCTCGTTTAGCGGAAAAAAGTAAATTCACATCGCTTAATGACGATTTTACAAAAAGACTAAAGGATGAGAATAGAGTTAAAGATGAGAAAAATGTAAATGAAAAATTTCTACAAAATAGCCCGCCAGCAAAAAAAATATGGAGGGTTGAAGGCGAGAAAGAGTAAATACTTAATCCTAATAACCCGTTTTGAAGTCACGTAATTTTACGTAAAAAATTTGATTATGATGTTTGTTATGTGGGATATTGGATACAAATCGAGCGTACATGAAGTATACGCAATGGATTTGGATTTTAACTTTATGCAAGATATGGATGGATTTATTAATTTTTTTATTTTTATAGGACGGTTAGAATGGAACTAAGTAAAAATTTTAATGGTTGAATTTCTGAAAGTGACGTGGGATGATTGCAATTTTTGAGATAAATATCGCGAATTTGAAGGTGGATGCTTAGTTTTATTTACTATAATTCTTTTAGGTCGTAGTTATTTTAGTTTGTATATGAATTTAATTTTTGTTTTTGATTTTTGGTTTACTTCATTTATTTTGAGAATGTGAGATTTTATGGGAAAGACGTGGATTATATACGATTTAGAATGTTAGAACCTTAGTTATAATATAGATTAGTCCTTAAAGTCACCGCACATTAGAATCCTCTAGCTTTTTAAAACAAAGAGATTTAATTTTATCAAGATCAGATTTTTTTTTATCAAGATTCAAGATTTTATTTCCTTTATGAAACAAATCTTTTAACTGATTAATATAGGAGAAATGATTCTAGTGATATTACGCAATTTATAAATAAAAAAGTTTTTTTTAATTTGATGGTAGTTTAATAGTTTAATAAAAAGATTCATATTACTAGTTATTGGAATAAATAATTTTCGCATTGATTCAATATTGTATTTTTCTTCATTAATTTGGTGAAAAAGTAAATTGGCTTCTTATGATTAGATATGAAAAAAAAATGATACCGAGATATGACTTAATGACATTTAATTCATTTATTGTTATTCGCATTTCGTCTAAATTTAAGATCTTTGTGAATTTGAACGACTTTAATTTTGGTTCTCAATTCAAGGTACTACTCATTACTCGCTAGTCGCTAAATTGCAATACAACAATAAATTTTTACGAATAATCAACTGTATAATAATATAATAATTTATTTAAAGTGTTAATAAAATGAAATTATTCAAATTACAAACTACTCTATTATTAGTGTTTAAATAATTCTAAATAAAATAAAAAACGTTCAAAAATTCCGATCTTTATTATTTCAAGTGATGTAGTACAATGATTTTGACATCATCTTTTTTTCACCACACCTATTCCCACAATATGTCTAAAATAATCATGTCGGACATAAAATTATACTATTTTAATCACTAAGCCACTTAATATATAATGGGAAATTTTAAATATATTTACATATTAATACACTAACAGCTAATATAAATAAAACTATAACTATTAAAAACTGATACTATACATCGATAATAATTGATAGGCGCGATATACAAGCTCCGCACATCATCAATTGCAGAATTAACATGAGATACGATCATTTTTTACTCACGAGTCGCGAGTCGTGATTTTTTTACTTGTAAACATAAACAAGTATATATATACTCTCAACATATATATATACCATCAGTTTTCTCCAAAAAAAAAAATACTCCCCTTTTTCAGAACGTTCTTTCCAAAAATGCCCTAGAGTCCGAATATAACAACTAAATAATAAATAATATGGTTGTGTTTTACGTTTAACAACCTTTGTGTTTACCTACACCCTTCCTTTCGCAAGAAAATTCCCATCGTAATGTCTTCTTCGAATAAAAAATGTCTTGTGAAGTCTTATTACATTTATGGAATAACGGTATTCATAATGTAAAAGAATTACATAGGTTAACAAACATCCCAAAGTCCACTATTTACGATAATATAAAAGAAAATGGCATGCTGGAGACCCAAAAAGATTGCCACAAATGTCTCCCGCGCACTTGGTCAATATGTAAGGTATGATACGTCTTTTTCCACAAGAACTTTGGAGAAAATATAGGCGTAGAAGTATCGTATAGAACCGTTGGAAGGCATCTTTCAAGTATTGGTTATGTAAAAAGACTGCCTAACGCAACCCTATGCTGACCGAAACACACAAGGTAAAGAGTGTGGAGTGGGCAAAAAAATATATTAATAACCAATGGGACAAAACTGTTTTTACTGATAAAACTGCTTTTCAAATCTTTAGAAACACCATTGAACGATGGTATAAGGGAGTAAGACCAGTTTGGTGTATGCCTAAAGATTGTACGAAGATTATGGCATGAGGCAGTTTTTGCGTGAAAGGAAAAACAAAATTATTTTGTTTTAAACAAATTATGAACGCCAAATTTTATGTGGATTGTGGAAATTCTTCGTACACATATTACTGAGATCTTCCAGATGCTTGGTGATCGTTGGTGCTTCTAACAAGACAACGATCCCAAGCATACCAGCCATCTTGCAAAAGACTTAAATCTGATCAAAATTTATGGGCGATTATTTATCAGTTACAGTATTGAAACACTAGGCAACAGACGAAAGCTCTCTGAATGGAGTATTACCGGTTTACTAGACATGTGTAAAATGGCTAGGAGACTTTAAAAGAGGTGTGTATTTTTTTATTTGCAAAGTGAGTAACTTCCTAAGCTAAAATTAGAACGGATAACTCATTGAGTCGGGGAGTTCACAAATTTTACTTAGGAGGGTACTGGATTTGTTTGCTTGGGTTGGGTAAGGGTGAGCAAAGTGGGTAACTCCTAGGAAAATCTAGAACGGATAACTCAATTGAGTCGGGGAGTTCACAAGGTTGACTTAGGAGAATTACCTGCTTTTTCTTTTTTATTTTATTTTTATTTTATTTTTTTATTCCCTTTTTTTCTTCTTTTTTTTTT